GTTTGACTGTGAATGTTGATCGTTTATATGTAAGACAACGGGGGTGATGCTTCGGTGGCTCATGTCATGAGGCTTCTTCAATCATGATGACAAGAGATTGAGGCTTTGGTTGAAACGTTCAATAGATGAGCCAGGACGTTACACTTTGATCAGAGCCAGGAATTCGTCTCTTGTCTTGGCATCCTCTCGAAACACGCCCAACATACAGCTGGTTGTAGTGGTTGCGTTGATTTTTTGCACACCACGTAGTACCATACACATATGGCTGAAATAGATCCACACCAGTGATGATAATCTATCGAGGTTTGTCAAGTAAATTACGAGCAAATTCGAACGAAGTCAGGCTTGATTTTAGGCATGATAATCACCTGATTAACGAAGTACGCAATTGCAAAAATGAATCAAGTCAAATTACTACTAAAACCTTCGGATTTTCTTTGTAAAAACCAAGTTTTTGAATGTCAACACTGGATTCGGTGGGATTTATCGGCCAAATCTATCAGCCAAACGAATTTTTCGTAACCAACGAGTTGATATTTTAACTCTCAGATGTATTTTTAGTGAATTAGCGATGTCAACGAAGCGAACAATTAGTAAGCATATGTAGCTTCAACACATATACGATGTACTGCAAGTGTTAGGGGGAGAAAGTTTTGAGTTCGATTCCAAAAACTGGAAAAAAATTTGCGTGAGCAAGGTGTGATTTCAGTGGGATTAAAAAAAACAAACTTTAAAAATGGAATGATTTACCTTGCTTCAACTACCACCGCAACTCCAGTTGGCTGGAGAACTTCTGTTATCGCAACGGCAATTTGTTTCGTTAATCGCTCTTGTACTGCAATCAGTTAACCCATTCAATAATATATCACTACCATATGATCAACGCTATCAAAAGCGCGACCATCAAATGAATCGTATGATCCAAACAATTTTGGATACCGATCAACCACAACCTCGCATTATTTGATGCAAGCACAGGCAACAATGGATTTGCATGAATCAAAGTCATACCGAGTGATATTGAATGGTTACAAAGTTTCGATAGGTTTTAACAAAAGTTTTGATAGATTACTGGAGTTGAAATATACACTAGCAATAGGATATGTGAACCTTGAAGACGTCGACTGAACATATCAACGATTCTAGCCAATTTGCTTAAGCCAATCACTTTTTTGTTCGGCAAATAACCGATATGAACTTTGCCAATGAACGGTACCATGTGATGTTCACACATTGAAAACATCTCAATGTTACGAACAATCACCATTTCATCGTGATCTTCATCGAATATTGCTTCGTTGACCACATCTGAGCACATCACTTCTTATAGCAATAATAATGAAGATAACAAAAATGATTACATCAAGTATAGACAGAATTACGATAATGGTAATGATGGCAGTTAAGTCAAAATCATGTTTCAGTTTCATTGCAGTAATGATGTAAACGTTCCGTAAAAACGAAATTTTTGAATTTAATAGGAAAAATTTCTTTCAGCTGAAATTCGCTCAAAGAAAGACTTCATAGTCCAGATGAATGAGTAAAATCAGTGATTGAACATTTTTCTATACGGAAAGAACTTCAGCTACGAAATGTCGAATGCATCAAATATGTCAGATGTCCATAAATAATAAGCAATTTGCAACATCGAAACTTTCGAAACGAACCATCAAGATTTTCTTCATATCCTTTCGTGAAGAAAAGCATTGCTTTCGCGGCACGTTCAGGTGTTTTGATGAGGCCCTGTCTATGGATATCTTCACCGCAATGTGATATTATGGATGCATAAGCCTTCGTCATATCATCCAACTGTGCGTTTGGAGTTGGTGACAGTCGCTCACTAGCGCAACATTTCACATTCTGCAAATCAATCAGTCATTCGATCGTCCAACTCAACATTGCTACTCTAATTATCTTCTGTTTTTCCTCAAGATCTCGTATTCTATCGTTGAGCTACCCGTCAATCTCATGAGCTCATAAGCTTGTTTGGAAACCACAAGCTGTCATATTTATGATCATTAGAGTGAAAGAAAAGTCAGTGTTCAGCAATCAGAAAATGTTAGTTGCAAACGCTTTACATCACAATTTCTTTCAAAAATCAGTTCTTACCAATAAATTATCGCCCAAGTATGAAATATCGCTGCCGGATGCAATTCCACTGCTCATTTTTATTCTGAAAGTGCAAATAGAATATTTCACTTTCATGTTTCAAAAAAATTGTTTGATCGTTATTTTCGTCGTAATTGGTAAGGTTTACAATAGTGTAATATTATCATCATATATAATAGCCAAAAATATCGGAAGCTCTTCAATGCACTTTTCTCTGCATCATTCTATTCACTGGAATTCATTCTTTACTGATTCACTTTAATGAGATGACAAAATTCATTGAATATTCCAATAGTAAAACTCGTGGTATTCCGTTTAATGCACCATATTCTAGTCACAGTCTTCGAATAAAGCTGATCCCCAGTTTCACACTGATTCTTGCTTGGTACTTATTGTTAACATAACATGATAGTATCGTGATTTTATCTAATATTGACCTGAGAATAGGATAAATTTGAGTAAATTAATCGGGCCTCATTGGCTCAGGGGCAGAGCGTCTGTCTCGTAAACAGAAGGTCGCAGGTTCGATTCCAGCATGAGGCAATTTTTTCTTTTGAACGAATCAGAGAGATCCAGGTTGGTAAGTAAGCGCTTTGAAGTTTGAACAGTGAACGATACTTTTGATTTTGTTTATCGTTGGACTGCAGAAACGTTCGGACAACGATGGAGGGAATAGTGATGATTTTGTGCGGAAGTAGCGAATACTGTGAAAGAATTTCTCACTTGCTGGAACTCATGAATAGACTGATTCAATGAAATTTTATCCTGAATGTGCGCATCTTATTGTTGAACTTTGGGTAATCTTTCTTTGCTAATCTTTCAGAACCTTGTCGAATTTTCCGTTTTCCGCATATCAAAATCAGAATTTCAGACGGTAGGGAATGTAGCAAAAGATTCACGTTTGCGAAATATTAGATCGTAAACGGTAAAGAATCGCCCATTCTCGAGAAATCTTCACGAAACGATCACTCGTGAGATATTTCGAGGCACTCAAATCTTTTTAGTGCATTCAAGGAAAGAAAATTGGTCATCAACAACGCAGAAATTTTCCATGCTTCATGTCTTACAATTATTGCGTTGATTACATGCCCTGTAGAAGCAAGCTACCGTACACTAAAGAACTTTATCAGCATAATATCGTCAAGATTTTCAAACTGAATGAAGATCAGTGATTGTGGTCATTTTTTCATCCACCAATTGCGATTTTCCAATAGTTTTTGCAGCAAAACCGGTTCATGATTGACTTCAATCGATCAGAGAGATCAAAACGAAGAACGAAAAGCAATGTGGAGAATGCAGGAACCGGCTAAAAAAATTCCTTTCAAAAAATTACAGTTGCCCATTTGGATGAGTTGATTGATATTCAACGTGATAATTTCCGACAATGTTAAGAAATGCATCATCGTAAAATTAATGCNAAATGCTTGCACACCAGTGACCTATGATATTCTCTCTTCATATATCATACTAATCAGTAAAAATATGACTTCTCAATGTGGAATATTTTCAATCACGTATTATTGCTCACAATAATCTTGCAGTCTGCACGAGCAGAATACATGTGATTTAATGGATTATAGAACATCATCATTCACTTTATTGATAATAAGAATCACTTTATATATCAATAATAAGAAAATTACTGCAGAAATTCACCCCAGCAGTAATATGCTTGTAGTGAGCTGAACATAACGATTCTAGAAACTGTTTGCACCAAACATTTTCTTCAAAAAATACAGCAACTTAGAAAGAAACCAACGATATTATCATAGCAATCAAGTAATACTAAACAAACATTAACACTGAATGTGAAAATGCTCTAGGTTACGGAAGCCAGTCGATTTTGATTGACGATCTCCGGCAATTTGGTTCCCATCAAACAGATTGCCCTTATCCGCAGACATATCCCATTTTATCGTTGTTGTTGATATCTGGCCCCATAACTAGACATAATTGCCTACTCAGCAGTTACAGCTACCTTGTGATATATATTCACATATCAATCTATTCAGTCGGTCGATTACTGCGTTTATGAGTTACATAATAGAGGCAACGAAATGTGAATATTGTTGAAAAGGTGAATCTCAGACCGGAAAGAGCTGCTGCCACTAGCACTTCAACTAGA